TTCTTAGTCATCACTACTTTAATTACTGGAATTGTTTCTTCAAAAAAAATAAAAGTTAAATAAAAGGTTAGAAAATTATTTTTTTTTTATGTTCATATAACCTGAACACAGGGAGCCCAGCCGTAAAGCACATATCGCGAAGGCCTAGAAACGAGTTTTAATGGTTACTATGATGGGTCAGCTGTTGCTATGTTGAACTCGAAAAGCGCCATTTTGGAAATATTTTGGAGTGTTGAGAAAATTCAACCTTTTATTTACAAAATATAACAAGATTCCGAATTAAAATGCCTGCAATAACGGAGCAAAATGCAGAAGAAAAGCTKGAGGATAGTTATCCAAGGTARGATCGAAAAGTTCTGCGAAAAAACATTGTTTTATGCAATTTTGAAATGTCAAAACAGCCGATTGATCACATTAAGCTCACATAACTTGGCTACTTCAATCTTATAAACGTTAGAAAAATAGAACAGCTTTTATGATTACGWACAATGTTAAATGATAATCTGTGTCAGTGTTTGATATGATTCTGTTCAACTGACGAAATATTATTTGATTTGTAAAAAAAAATGCAGAATGACTAAGGAAAGTTTGAGGAAAATTTGTAAAGAAAAGAAGCTCTACTTGACGCCTCATCTCAACGATGTGCTGTATTTGCATTTCAGAGGTATGATTTTTCATATAATGGCATCACAGATTGTTTTATTTTGCCACCACAATTCATTTTGACATAGCAACTTAAATACAGTAAGTTTTTAACTAAAATTTACTGAACTTGCATACCAAAACTTTTGGCAAAAATAAATTGCAAAATCTACAACACGTACAATACTGGCTGTCTGATCCTGATGCTCAATCCACAATTTATTTACATATATTAGATGGTCCACAGGTTGCCCAAATTCAACACATGTAGGCTTTTCTGCTAAGTTCTTGTAGAGAAAAACGAGAAATTTAAAAGTCGGAAATCTCAATAAAATGCATTCAAACTCATTCATATGCATTCATATGTTGTTCTTACATGTAATTTATTACACATCTTTACGAAGTTTCAGCTCTCTGCAGTGAGATATGTAGCATTTATGGCCGTACATACACATAAGATAAGCATACGGAATTCAGGGCAACACAGAATGTTTCATGGTGTATTTAACAAATAGATTCCATTTGTATGTGTCTGTTAGAGTGCTCGCACTAAATGCGTGAAATATAAATACTACAAAATAAGTGATAAAGTGCAAGCACTCTACCTCTAATAGATTAACAGTCAAAAATGTGACAAAACGTGGTGAGAACAAAAAAGTTCAGGTATTCTCTGATCACATTTTGACATTTTATGTATCAAATTAGACAGACACATGAAAAAATGGAATAGTGTTTGTTATATATAATATTTTGTCTAACGTTTTCCAGAGCATGGGTAATTTCATTGAAACATTTGAGAGCACATGCACGTGGTTCTGACCAATTGATGTGCACGTAAGATTAAATAGCATCATCCGTGCGTGTACTTTACCGCAAATCAAAAAGTTGTGACTGTATCAAAATATTTCAGTAATGTTTATTGTTCATTAACCAATCAGAAGCAAATATACTATTTTAAGTACATTTTAATTTACAAATTTGATCTAGACTTCATTTCAAATTATTAATATGCTTTCTTTTTGTTTCGTGTCCTATGTTAACATCTGCCATCAATTTGGTTCTACTTATGATAACACCATTTTTCTGCTCATCTTTTACTTGAACTAGGGCTCCTCTCTGAAGCTCTTCCTCTCGAAGGTCTGTCACATTTTCTTGTTCAAAGATGTCCCTCAAACTCAACTCCTGATCTCGTATCTTTGGCTTTACCATGAGAGTAACAAATGGATTGCTTTGTTTACCATTCTTCAGCTTTTTGGGGTATCTTTTATGTGAGCTCTCCCATATGATTTCCGATTCTGGACGTATGGAAATAATTTCTGCATCAAACAAGTCTTCCTCGCGTAGTAAATACAAGAAGCCCAGGCCGGTGACTTGGACACATTTTCGAGTACTATTGTGGAAGTATTTACCATCTTCTGTCATTTGCTTTATGGTACAGGAAACTATCACAGTGCATAAATATGGTGGATTGACAGCTGTCCAGATATATTTCAGAACATTCTCTTTGCAGCATCCATACACCCAGTTTTCAATCGTCTGCTTCTTAAAATGGTCTGTCCAAGGATACTCTTCCATCGAGGGAATACTGCAAAAGTTGAGGTAGATGACACCTGACCTGGGTATCTCTCGATGGTCGATGACACTCTGATAAAGCTTTTCAATGCTGCGAGGTATCGCCAGCTTGTGGTAATTGTGTACTACTTCAGATGTCTCAAAGAGGCGTATCCGCGGATGGACCTGTTCCAGGGCTGACTCTTCATCCAACGCTTTAAGTAAACACACTAACATTCTTCCATGGCCATCCAGCAAATGAATAGTTACCTCGTAACGACCATACTTCACAACCTGTGCAAGAGCCCTAGCTCTTTTATTTTGATCATCCAATTCAGTTTTATCATTCATTACTGAGTCTTTATGCAAATGAAATACCGAATCTCTTTCACCAAGACCTTCCTTAGTATCTATCTCTGGGTAAAGAATCTTGTAAAAAAACTTCAATGGAGCACGGCGAAGATCATGACATAATGCTACTCCTTTAGGCGTTGAACGCAAAAAATCAATTTCATCCTGACAAGGTTGGAACTTGTCACCGATCTTTCGAAAGTGAGCACGCATCATCATTCCAAAAACTTCCTTGCTGCGCCTTTTATTTTCTTCGATAAAATCATCTTCACTAGCATAGATCTGTCCAATGGACTGTAGATCTTTTTTTAGTTTTTCACAAGCTTTTTCTGTTTCTTCATCATTGAACAACAGACCTTCTCTTCTCAAACGGTAGTGAGTAAACATCTGAGGATGAGAATTATGAGTCGGCATTAAATGTGANTTAATAAAAACAATTCATTTATTTACTTTTTTTGCTCTCTTTGACACTTGATATGATAATAAAGCACTTATTTACTGGAAACCTCGGGAAACAGCATGTTTTGCGGTCCCTCGACCGCTGATGTTTCCCTCAGCTTCACTTCGGGAAACATCAGCGGTCTCGGGACCACAAAACATGCTGTTTCCCTCAGTTCCAGTAAATAAGTGTTAAATATTAGATGGTCCACTGAATGAGATATGTAGCATTTATGGTTGTACATGCACATAATTATAAGACAAGCATACAGAATTCAGGGCATCTAGATAAGGGGTGGCGAATGGTAAGATCCGAGATCCGTCGAGACGCCCGAGATTGCTGTTTTAAAATCCGAGATCGAGAAGTTAAAAATTCCGAGAAGCGAGATTAATGTTTTTATGTTTTCAAAATAACTACCGGTAAATGGTTTTATTGCTTAAAATACATAAAAAGTTGTCGCTTTTCGCTAGTCGAGGACTATTGAAAATAGGCCCAGAGTAGCATAGCCAATTGGAACGAAGGTTTTGCAATAGTCCACTAGAAGTATGGTAATACTAAACTCTAATAAATACACACCAGATGACATCAAAACGTGATGAGAAAAAAAAAGTTTGGTTATTCTCATCACATTTGATAGCTTCTATCTGGGCAGTTCCATGCGAGAACAAGCAAAAAGTGAAAAAATAAAATTGACTTTGCCAAATATCTATAGTGGCCAATTTGTAGTGGTATACCTAAACCTTTGGAAAAATAATGTACAAATCGGATTGTGCTCCTCGTGTACTTTCTTCCTATAGCTTTTCCAAGGGCTTGAGCTGACTTAATGTATGCATTTGAAGGCTTGTCATGGATTTTTTTTGGCTTTTACTCGCTGTTTATTTTTCAATCATTACACAGGAAACCCACAAATCACATTTTATCAGAAAAGTCTAGTTAAATAAGAACTAAAGAAACTTTAAATGAATAAATGTCTAAAAGTGTATCATTTATTCATTAAAGTAAACCAACATAAAATGCTAAAAATATAGATTTTTTTGAAGACATATACGTCCATGACAAATTTGTGTACTAACGTCCATGACTCTAGTTTTTGCCCAATTGGTTTTCATGTGAAAGACGAACAAGGACAAAAACTTCACAAATGGTAACAACCACTCTCTCACTTTATGTATTTGCACTAATGAATTTATATAACTCAGTTAGTTCACAGGAATTTTACATTGAAGCCTAAGAGTTTAAAAACTGTGTCCGTTTTTCGTAACGTCCATGACTGAGATTAAAATATTAATTACTCTTAATAGAAACAAGCAAAAATTTCTAACACTACACATGAACATAAAGCAAACCCATGTACACTATTGGGAGGTAGAAAAATAATATTTTGAAAAAACTGTAATTTTTTTATCAACATTTATTTCTCTGAAATTCTCTCTGAATGTAACGTCCATGATCATGGAACTGCCCACTATCTATTAGACAGACTCATGGAAAATTGTAATCTCTTTGTTTTATGTAATGTTTTCATCTAATATTTGGCTGTGTACTTTACAGTGGAAATCAAAAAGTTGTGACTGCATCAAAATTTTTTGGAAATGTACTTATTGGATAGGGAGATCAACTGTCATCTAAGTGCATTTCCACGTGCAAATGTCATCAAAACTTCAATGTTACAAATAGAGTACAAACACTAAAACTGTGCAACATAAATACCACTAAATACTGCTAAATTATGCTAATTCTATTGTTTTCTATTGTTTAATTAACACTATTTTGTAGCACACATTTAATGTTACTTTGTACTCTATTAAGTAACAATGCGCTAAAGAACTAGGGAACTCTCTATTGTTCTGCGGCATAGCAAGTTTCCCATGCACGAATGTCTTGGTTTTCACACTGATTATGTATTAGCCTGTGGGTAACACATTTTTGACATAAAATGTGGATAAACTCTATTTTGAAACAAAGCTTCTTTTGTATTAAAAGCTCTTATCCAATCATAAGCACTCAAAACAATAGCCAAAAGATGCTTCTAATTTGCAATGTTCCCCACATAGAATTGCCTTAATATTGAAGTTCAAGAACGCTTTCATGAAAGCGAAAACAGACATAAATAAAATAGAAAATTCGCTAACTTGTGAAATTATAGCAGATTTTCATGTTTTAACCAATGGGATGGATAGATTATACAATGCACAATTAGCACCTTCTTGCATTCCTTTGCCGTTTGCTTCCCTAGTTCTTACTCGGGACATTACTTAAATAAAAACTAGTTTATGACAAAATAACTCTGAGATTGTGAGAGCTGCTTTTTCAAGGAGATACTCGAGAAGCTTCATGTAAGCTTAATACGTTTTCACTGACTCTTTGTAACTGTCTACACACATTCGAAGCAGAAACTGTTTAAAAAACTTATTTAAATTTGAATGTACAATTTACGACAAAGAATATAATTTTAAAATGTGAATTCTGTGAAATGTATCCTACTTGAGATCAACATAACGATGTAATAATCAAATCACTTTATTCATGATTGCCAAAGCAAGCATTTCAACATGTACATGTAGTTACAATTTATTAATAATGATGATATTAAAATGATAAAATCTAATTAAAATTGAAATAATTTCCTATCTACACTAAAAAATACTTATGGGTCTGTAGGAGAGAGTCTTAACTTAAAAGTTTTATTGCTAATGATTACATGAATAAAAATAATATTTATTTATTTATTTGTTTACTAAGAAATTGTGATCAGTACAATATAATATTATACAGTCAAGTCTCGCCTTACGGATACTCCACTACAAGGGACACCTCAATATTACAGACAGTGAAATAATGATTCCCCGGCAAAAAAGAAATGACTGAAAGTAACTCTTGTTTTACGGAATTACGGAATATTTTCAGAATTAATTTACAATGTATTATAATAATCAATTGAAACAAGAAAAAAATTGAAATATTGATAATTAATATTTGCACTCACACCAGTTGTTTGTTGACTATAAAATTAAATTTCTTAATTTTATACGCTTTATTATCGATTGTTGCAAGTTTTCAGTATACACTAATCTTCCAAGTATTTAGCACCAGCTACATAATATACATACTACAATACATAATACAGCTCTACTACAAATTGCTTTGACATGCAACGACCTCTCTGACTAGCTTCCATTATTATAATGTACAGCATGAGCTTAATATATGGTCCTGGACTGGATATCAAACCACAACTATGGCAGGAGTCTTTAAACTACTTAGTTATCCTCCTCCACTCCTATCAACTGAACAGCTTTATTCATTTTTTTGGTTTTAATGCTATCTTTGTTGTAATATTGTCATTTCCAATCTTATCAATGTGTATTGTATACATTTCCCCGTCAACTTCAACTTTTACCTGTAATTCTGTTCTACTTTTGATTAATGTGTTTTTGACAAAATTTTGCCCAAATTTTACTCCAATCTTGGAGTTTTTTTGAAGTTTTTCTTTAAGGTTCATCACATCTTCTTCTTTAAAGATTTTGCTCAGCTTTTTTTTATCTCCTTCATGTGGTTTTACCATCAGAGTCACAAATGGATTACCTTTTCTACCACTTCTCAGCTTTATGGGACATCTTCTTAGGCACTTTTTACGTGAAGATGTCTTCCACATGATTTCTGATTTGGGACGTATGGAAATAATCTTTGCATCAAACAAGTCTCGACGGCGTAGTAAATACAAGAAACCCAGGCCGTTGACAGACCTATGCTGCTTGTGTTTTTGAAAGTATATTCCATCTCCTGCTGAATGCTTTATGATACAGGAAACCATCACAGTACATGAATATGGTGGATTGACAGCTTTCCAGATATATTGCAGAACATTCTCTTTGCAGCATCCATACACCCAGTCTTCAATCGTCTGCTTCTTAAAATGGTCTGTCCAACGAAACTTATTCATAGAGAAAATACTGCAAAAGTTGAGGTAGATGACACCTGATGTGGGTATCTGTCGATGGTCGATGACAGTGTGATAACGCTTTTCAATGCTGTGAGGTATCGCCAGCTTGTGGTAATTGTGTACTACTTCAGATATCTCAAAGAGGCGTATCCGATCGACTTGTTCCAGGGCAGACTCTTCATCCAACGCTCTGAGTATGCAACATTCTTCCATGGCCATCCAGCAAATGAATAGTTACCCCGTCATGAGCATCCTTCACAACCCGTGCAAGAGCCTTAGCTCTTTTATTTTGATCATCCAATTCAGTTTTATCATTCTTTACTGAGTCTTTATCCAAATGAAATATCGAATCTCTTTCACCAAGACCTTCCTTAGTATCTATCTCTGGGTAAAGAATCTTGTAAAAACTCTTCAATGAAGCACGGCGAAGATCATGACATAACGCTACTCCTTTTGGCGTTGAACGCAAAAAATCAATTTCATCCTGACACGGTTGGAACTTGTCATCGCGACTCTTTCGAAAGTGAGCACGCATCATCATTCCAAAAACTTCCTTGCTGCGCCTTTTATTTTCTTCGATAAAATCATCATCACTAACATAGATCTGCCCAATGGACTGTAGATCTTTTTTTAGTTTTTCACAAGCTTTTTCTGCTTCTTCATCTTTGAATAAAGCTTTGATTGCTCCAATGTCAACATGGTCAGGCAAAATTAGCAGCTCTTCTTCTCTAGCTACCCTGCACACTATCAACTCTTCAAATCCTGCTGCGAGTAGAAATGCTTGTGCTTCCTCAAGTTGCCAGACAGTGGTATAGAAGTTTGCATCTCGAATACAAATTGTCCTGAATTCCGGACTGTCGGGGTTTCCGGCAATAACATCAACATAAACTTTGATTAATTTCAAAGCAGCATATGCTTCTACCGTATCCAATTGTATCAGCGACTGGTAAGCATTCAACAGATCTTCGCTACTCATGGTCCTTGATTAGTGAATAACCATCTGAGGATGAGAATTATGAGTCGACATTTAATGGGAAACATTTACATCGGGGTGTGATGATTTATTATCACCATACATTGTATANNACCTTCCTTAGTATCTATCTCTGGGTAAAGAATCTTGTAAAAAAACTTCAATGGAGCACGGCGAAGATCATGACATAATGCTACTCCTTTAGGCGTTGAACGCAAAAAATCAATTTCATCCTGACAAGGTTGGAACTTGTCACCGATCTTTCGAAAGTGAGCACGCATCATCATTCCAAAAACTTCCTTGCTGCGCCTTTTATTTTCTTCGATAAAATCATCTTCACTAGCATAGATCTGTCCAATGGACTGTAGATCTTTTTTTAGTTTTTCACAAGCTTTTTCTGTTTCTTCATCATTGAACAACAGACCTTCTCTTCTCAAACGGTAGTGAGTAAACATCTGAGGATGAGAATTATGAGTCGGCATTAAATGTGATACGTTTACAAACAGACCTAAACATCGGGGTATGATGATTTATTATCACCGTACATTCAGTCTATGTCTGACTGTCCGATATTAGTCTCCTCGCAGCCGTTCTTAATGGCGGGCTCCCACTAAGTCCACTAAGAACGGCTCAGTGCGAGGAGACTAGTCTGATATCTAAGTCCGTGAAATTTCGCGAAGTTTGAAGCTTACTTGATTTGATAGCAGTTAAAATCGATATCTTATATAATAACTTAAAATTTCAGAAAATCTAACTCTGCGTACGCGGTTACCGTGGTGAAAAGCCACTGCAATTCATTCTGAAACACCATTGGGATAAAACATCTTTTGGAGAAAATTCGCCATATTTCCAATTACCTACCTTTCTAGGAACAAAGCTTTGATGGATTTTGAGCCAAAGAGAAAGATTTCGTAACTATTAGTTAATAGAGGATGACATCTCCCTCTACCAACTATGTTCTAATCTTCCGGCTTGACGCTGTACCTAGCTATGTCACGTCAATAGCCCTTTTTAAACTGGTTTAGAACCGGTTTTGTCGGTATCGCATCTTTGAAGAACAGGAGTAACTACAAAAATAGATGGACTTCCGGCATGATCTACAGTGTATCATTCCAAGCAAAAACATTGTTTCCAGATAGCTCTGATATATGTTAGATTGAAACAACATTTGTAGATCCAATAGAATAGATGTTTTCTCCTTTCGGAATCCTATCAGTTTACTTTGACTCATTTCTTCGCGTTAGCGCTTGTCACGTGAAGTTTAACCCCATGTGAGCTCTGGTCTGTAATCGTGCATACGTAATCATCAGGCATGGCACGATATCACGCGACATGAGCGTGTAAATCAAGGAAGGACCATCATGCAAAGCGTCAGTAAGCTTACGTTTTTCGCAATTTTTACTCGGGGTTCCAGAGGAACCGCGAGTTTAGGTTTCGGCCTTCTTTGTCATGGTAGTATTTGGTACACAAATTGTCTCGGCCAAACTAGAAGGCACTGGGTACGAATGTTATCATGTACTATCTGATCTTCATGGTGGCGAGAGTGTACACGAGATGATCGAAAGACATGGCTTTAACTTCAAATTATACGCTCAAATCACTTACAAATCCAGAACACCATTCGCGGTATAGTCACGCTAAAAAATGTCGAGAGCGTTTTTCGAAAAGGCATTTGGAGAGATACCATGAATTTATCTTAAAACAGTGAAATTTATTTTGCTGTCTATCGATCGCAGTCCATCAAGAATTTCCTTAGTATCGCGAACTAGCATATACAGGCTCTGAAACTACAAAGGACTTATCTAAGGAATACAAACAGAATTCTACCAAGGACAAACCGACGATTGGAAGTATCATTATTTAGCGGAGAAGATAAAAAACTCTGTGTTTATAGCCTGCCATGTGACTGCTATCCCCTGCTATCAAAGTGAGGACGCGTTTACTCCACAAGTAAATTAAGGTTGATATTTATTGGTACTATGCACTATGCCTGCTATGCAAAGTAGTGTTTTCGTTCTCTTAGCTGTACTTGATGCACTGCAACATTCGCAAGTGTAAACGAGCCTTACCAAAGAAACTACGAAAGTGTACAAACTTTATCGATATAACAATTTACGCTGAATATTAATCTTTCGGATTCACTACAATACTAAATTT